CACACAATACAGCCGGTTGGAATGCCGCCGGAATTTCTTTTCCCTTCGTGTGTGCCAACACTGGAACGCTCTTCCCACATACGTTGTTTCTTCCCACACGCTAACTGTGTTCAAAAGACGTCTGGATGATTCGCTTATCCACCTACGTTACGCTATCTAATCAGAGATGTCCACGTTGAACAAACACGAAAAGTACGGTGCTCATTCTCAGCTTTTGTGCTTCAATATTTATACACTGCTGTTGTGGAATATAGTATCGTTTATATTACAACTGCACTCATCAATTTACCCCAGTCCAAGAAAGCGGGGCACGAGTAAGCGTTGGTCGTTTCTCTTGTTCTTAAGACCTGCCTTACCCATATTACTTCCCATATTACTCTATAGTAACAATTCAGTACATATTCTACAGCGTTTCTACGAATAAGGGGCACTTGAATTCACTAGAAACTTAAACTGACAATTTACACTGATGTTTAATTTCACTTCAACCATCTTACGGGACTTGTAAAGCAATCGCTTTTTTACCTGTAATATATCATTGTTTATTGTACCTGTGTACACTTCACGATTATATGCTTAAGGTTAAGGAGCAGAACCACACTGTTGCACCTTGACTCTAAATTAGTTTGTGTCGATACTACCTTAGTCCATGGAGCAACGCTCATGGGAAGATCTCTGTACCACTCGTTAAAACACTGGTATCTCTTGCTGTACGCCCATTCCTGGGTTCAAGTAAGAGTTCATACAAAACACTACGTTACTTCTTGGATTGTTATCCGCCCCCATAACGTGGAATCGTGGACACTATTAAATACTAAACTATAGAGCACAGATGTTTCTGAATGCAGCAGTTATAGACGAATGAGGAGTCACTCATTTGAATTTGCAGCCCACCATTTACGCCCATACTTAATTACTTTACTGCGGCTAGCTCCTGCGACAGGATGAGCCGGTTTCGTAGATGTCGCGAATTGCAGCTGCCCAAACGCGGCGGTCGGCGGCAAACTCCACGCAGATACTGATCCATTGATTCCTCCAGTGACGGGCACCATGCACAACATGAAGTCCCAGAAGATCGGCATTCGATTTCACTGCAGTGAGCCATCTCTTCAATCGTCCACCAGAGAGACGACACCAACCCTGACAAGGCGAGGGTGAAACCACGGCCCTAGTGAAGTCAGTGTCTGATCTGCGGAGGACGTGACCGAACCACTGAAGTCTGCGTCATTGGATGAGCGCTGTGAGCTTCAGAAGAGCGTAATCTGCGCTTACGGATTTCGTCATTGGTGATAAGGTCACGCCACTGCGTTTTCAAGATAAGCCTTAGACACCAATGGTCGAAGACTTCCAGCTTCTAGGTGCCTTCGGATCGCAGCGGCCTTGTATCGCAACCATAAAGTAAAATAACACGAATGTTTGCTGAGAACACTCTGATTTTCGTTCTCAGACTAATTTCCGTCCTTCGCCACAATGTGTTTCTCAGTTTTAAAAAGGCTGTTCTAGAGCTGTCAATACGATTCCGGATTTCGGACATAGCCTGACCACTAGGGAGTTTAGTGGATCCATGATAGTTGAATTTAGGAACAGATTCGATGAGTTGTCAATGTAAGGAGAACGACGGGGCGGACTGGATTGCTAACGATGCGAAGTATTTCTTCTTGCTGATGTTACTTTCGAGGCCGATCATAGAGCCTGATTGCTCAACCCGATTTAGAAGTGACTGTAGTGATATAGCATCTTCCGCAAGGATAGCGATGTCGTCAGTGAATTCTAATTCTGACAGCCAGAAATCAGGGCTAACTTGAACACCACGATAGCTCTCAAGGGCATGATGCATAACCCAGTCGACTTCGAAGTTGAACAGCACTGTCGAAAGTGGACAACCCTGCCGGACTCCAGTATTGATGTCGAATTCCTCTGTTCCTTCTCCATAAACCCGAATTTGGGTCTTCATGCAACGGTAGTATGGTCTCATCAAGTTAACGAGTTTTTCCGGAACGCAGAGTGCTTCACGGTCAACTGAGTCAAAAGCAGCTCGAAAATCAACGAAGCGCACAAACGTGGGCTGCTGGAACTGGTAGCGGTGTTCGAGTGCTCGACATAGAGTGCAGAGTGCAGCATTTGCCTGGACGAAAACCAGCATGATTCTGGCGAGTTCGCAGATTCCTCTCATTGGCAAAGCGGGAAAGCAAGATTCATGCGAAGGTTTTAGCAGCCACATCGATCAGGCTACTCCGCGATAATTACTGCACACAGTTCGGTCACCTTTCTTGGGAAATGGCAGTAGTACTGAGGTACTCCACGAAAAAGGACAGACTTCGGCCTCCCATATCTAACAGAAGAGCTTGTGCAAATGGTCAAGGATAGCTGGTAGACAAGAGTTGTAGATTTGTGCTGGGATGCCGTCCGCTCCCGGGGCTTTCTTCGGCTTCAGGTGACGAACGATGTCTGCAATTTCTGTGGGAGATGGCAGTGAGTAATCCGCGTCATATCCTGTCTGAGTTAATGCTAAAATGGGTGCGGTGGTGTGTAGTAGGCAGTTTAGGTTACTGAAATACTCTACCCATCTGGAAAGTTTTCCTTCCGTATCGGGGATGATTTGGTCTTTCGAAGTGCACAATCTCGGCTGTGGTGGATGGTACTTGTCGGAAGCCAAACGGACGAGACGAAAAAGATGACCCAAATTGCCAGCATTTGCCGCAGTTTTATGTTACCTGCGATATCATACCAGTAGCAGTTGCGATCACTCCCTGCTGAGCGGGTTGCCTAATGTCTCGAGCGACGGTAGTCTGGGGAATTCGTGAGACGTGCTTCTCTCACTTTAGCGGACGAGCGCATAGTATCTTCAGTGATCTAGTCCTTCACAGGCTTAAACTAGAGTCCAGGGTAGATAAAGCTGCGCGTTGAACTGATGATTTTAGCTTAGACCAAAAATCGTCTACAGGTTCATCTTCTGCAATTACGGGGTGTGGTGCACTGGCAGAAATTCCTGCTTCTATTGCTGCCCCAAGGGATCGGCAGAAGTCAGTATTTTCCATTGGGGCAGTGTTTATACGCTTTGGTGGAAGGGTCTTCCGGCGTTTTGTCAAGCGCAGTCTGAATTTGGTGCGCAGGAGTAGGTGGTCTGAAACACCTTTATTGCCTGTTTCAGCCCCTCTGTACGCTCGACAGTCATCAATGGAGGACATCCACTTGGATCGAATTAAGATGTAATCTATCTGGCTTGCTGTACGATCATCGTTGGAGTACCACGTCAGAAGATGCTTCCTGGGATGTTGGGACCGAGCATTGGTTACGCACAACCGGTTAAGGTCAACGAAGCTGAGCAAGCGGTCTCCATTATCAGAGCGCTCTACAAGGACGTACTTCCCAAGTATGTGACGGGTTTGATCATTCCTAGGACCGGTCCGTGCATTCCAGTCCCCGGCAATAATGAGGACGTCACGTTTTGGAACATGGTTCACCACTGTCTGTGGAGTATCGTAAAATTCGTCTTTGTCACTTTCCGCTGAGGATTGGGTTGGTGCATAGACCGATATTATGGTCAGATTCATCGGGTGACCTTTGAAGCGTGCAACTTCTATTCTAACTGATACTGCCTTCCATAAAAGGAGAGCGTAGTGTGCCTGACAACCGAGAGCCATGGCGACCCCTTGGTTGCCAAAATTATCTCCCGCCCCACTGTGGTAAAGCCAGTATGAGGTGTCTACACCAGGGACTTTGATTTGTCGAGGGTCATAGCCGCGTATTCGAGATTCTGATAGGCATACTATGTCGATCTGGTAGTCATGTAGTGTGCGCATCGTCAACGCTTGGCTGCCGACATCCAACTGGGTTCTGACATTCCAGCATCCAGTGAATCGTGGCTTCCGGGGATTGAGGGACCCAGCTAGCTTACTTGTCACTCTGGCCACTGGATTAGCGCAGAGCGCGTCGCCTACCAGTCATGCCGTAGCGTGAGAAGAATCGCGGGTAACGGACATGTCATGGAGTTTCGTGCGGATTATGGGTACGTATGAAGACCCCAATCTCATCCGGATTTTGTTCGAGGGTTCACCTCTAGCCTTTACGCAGCCAAGTGCTACCTGCAAGGCAGCAGGGATCTAAGAAATTGTCTTAACTTCTGGCTGTTGAATCAAGGGTCCATCTCTTCTGCCCACTTGTCAGGACTGACGTTGCACGCGAGTACGAAGTCACCGGGAATAGTATTCCCGGCTACCCTCACCTGGTTTAGCCCGCCTGCCTGACGGTTGACCGGGGTGTGGCCGCTGCCGCGTGCAAGCAGCTTCTTGGAGCCACATGTGAGAGCTGGGTGACACGTTGAGACCAAAGATAGGTAGACTACCCCGTAGGGTAAGGCATGTCCTCTACCAGAGATGCTACTCCCCTGTCACTCCGGACACCCCATTTACGCCCATGCTACTGTTTGAAATTGAAGTCAATCTACCAAGGTGTCACAAAACAAGGCAAGTCTGTATCCCAAGATCAAGGACACTGATGGTCTATTCCACCGGCGTTTGTGTTTGAGGTGTAGTTGTATGATCGTTCAATTTAATACGCAATCCCTTTTCTGTTCAGTGGCTGAAATTTTCCTCATATCCCTCCTTTGACACGCAATAGATACTAATTCTCATAGTCATAGGATCAGGTGCTGTCACCCAACCGCGGCCATACACAGCCTATGATAAACACTACAATTAACTGAAATCTTGATTTATGTGGCTTCTAGTTTTGCACTTTTTTGTGCTCACGAACTTTTACTTTTATGGCACCTGTGTTAAAGAGAGCTGCCGTAAAACTACGATAGCATAATTTAAACACTTGACAAAACAACGGCATATTGATCAGTTGTCAACTTTTACTTGTGTCGATTCGACCATGCTTGTGTTCGAAACACATTTAACGTTTTGCAACTGTGTTGCCTTCCATTGCACAAAACATCACGCATATATGCTAATGATACGGGTGATTAGGACCTATCTGTTTTCATTGCATTTCAGCAATGGCTGAATCTGGATGAGAAGGTATTAAAGCAAATTAAGGGTAAGTTGATTTTGTGAAGCAATGAGTAGCAATTGCTCCTTTTAACTGCTGTTTATCATTGGTGTTTTTTTTTAAAATCCATCTGCGTGTTTGGCGGAGCAATAAACACGACTAAACTTGCTTACTTATCTTCGGTGTGTCATAGCGTTTTCCGATTAGGTAACTGTGTAATTATCACTAAAATCTAAGCAAGTTAACTGGATATCAGGTAACATCGTGTATCGGCTGTCTAGTCTTGAACTACGGTCTTGTATACCACAAAAGACTGCCTACCTCACTGCGCTTGTCCAGCAGTGTCACTCCGGTCAGATGGAATGGGACCTTTTAGCACTGCCTACAAAATTCTATATACATTTTCCAATTTGCTAGCACTGACAACCGAGAGGCCCTTTGAGAATCTATTCACCATCGCAAAACCGACTATAGAAATGAGTGAATACCTTGCAATCATTTTTAAGACCATTGAACCCTAAATGTTGCCGGAGCATAAGTTCCTGGAAACCGTTTAACAACGTCTCATCGGCGGTAAAGCTTTAATACAACAAACCTCGCTTAGGTGAGTGCAGTAACATTTAACCCATAAGCAGCGGATTACTGTAACGCACTACTTCGAGTACTGTCGGTAGCAACAACAACAGCAACCATCATCACCACCACAACAGCAACAACGGTACGATCACTGTGGAATACCGGGTTAGGCAATAGTGCCTGCAGCTTCCCCAGTTGTTCTTTCCTCTACTTGCCGTGTGGTAGATAGGGTGAGTCTAGAAGAGTATTAGTCATGATCAATTATACAGGAAAACAATCTAGACACAAAGTCGGTGCAGAAGTTGGATTGAGACCTAGTTTTGCCACGTCCGTATTAGTCCGAATCGATCTGATGCATATGCTTTGAACAGTTTGTTGTGGCTTTGTTAGAGGGTTGGTATTTTGTGGGCTGTCCGTTGTTCGCGCCACAGTTTGTTCCTTTCTGATAAGTATACCTGAAATAAGATGCCGAATTTTTGGTTTCACGCTAAACTGCTTTACCCCAAGGTCACTGAGCAACTCTTATGACGCCTGTCATACAGTTTATGGATTCACATTTGGGTTGCGGCAGGCAACATCAAATTGGATCGCGTTTTCCATTGGGACAAGCATCGATCATTGTGCTCAGTTGAACCGCAATCTCGGCGGGGATATTGTTGGTGTTGCTCTTGTGATCGTTTCTGACTTTGGACTCTTCAGCTAAAGCTAGTCACAGCTGGCCGCGGACAACTGCTGGCGGGTTGGCTCCTTAGCCAATGAGCTCCACGAACAAATCAGTACAAGGCTTTGGGATATTTGTTCTATTTAGTGGCTTGTAGGCTTGCCATCTCAAGCTGAAACCGGATTTACTTCAAAGCAAGTTTCTATCATGCCAACCACTGGCTGCACACGAATCTCAGAGTTTGCGGTGTTGTTCGCCCCTGTATAACTAGTAAATACTAGTCCGAAATGGTGTGCGTAATCAAGCACGCATATCCGAAGGCAATTGAAATCGAACACAGCGGAGATATATTCGATGGGCTACAAAAGATGTGGACGGATGAAGCAAGACAGGAGCAAATAGCACGACAAGTTTCAGAGCAGACGAGTGTCGAATCGGACGTGGGGCAGATTAAAGCAAGAAAGGATAATGTCCAATTTGTCAGCACTGACATTATACATAAGAGCTAGTAGTTATCATTTTGATCGCTGCAAAGCACCGCCTAGGATGCAGAACATAGAAAGCCTTCGATGAATGATTCCAGGTACGGAGGGCAAAATCATGCCGAGTAAGAATGGGTATGCGTTCATGTCAAATGGGGATTCGCCAGAGAACGGAGTCCGCTGTGCCGTCTGTTATTTATCATTTATTGATTGCAGGGCAAGCTGCATTTCATTGAGCCGTTGGAGCGGGCTTATCGGCCTTAAAAAAAACTGGCTGTCCCCGAAAAATGGTCGACAAGACCTCATCCTCCACTGTTGCTAAACAATGCCTTAGGTAGTGACCTCTCCCTCCGGCGCCCCCTGCCCCGAGACAAAACTACCCTCCTCCCACGAAGAATGTCCAGTTTTCGACTTTGGCTTCTTCTTAACGGTGGCGATCTTCGAACGTGAGCGCCAGTCGGTAGGGCGAGATGCTTGGTTCTTGTATAAAAAAGGAAACCAAAACGTATGTAGAAAACCGAAAACGATACAAATACAAGTGCGTTGCGTACAACACTGTTTCCGTTTTTAGTTCTCTTAACTTTTCCAAAGTTTTAACAGTTTTTTGGTTTTTCGATACTTTATTCTACCAAAAGATTGGAGTGAGCGTATACAATATTTACAAATATACACGTTTTTACACTGTACATAGTCAGAAAAACCAACGGGCTTACGAACCTCCCGACAACGACGGTTGGTCGTGGGAGACGACAAGCTAGGTTCGAAAGATGTCGGGACGGCTGGTGCTTCTAGACCGTGCTATTGGTCTGGTTTGACGATACTAGGATGCTGAAAATTGGTGCAGTTAATTGTAACGTCGCACGAAGCATTACTAGACGATGGAGGCGAGGTGGTTTCCTCCATAAAGGCTGCTTTTAGACGGTCGATGGTGACGATCGCGCGACAGACATCGTGGTCAATAGTGTACGTTTTATTCGCACAGTATAGCACATTGAAAGGTCCTATGTACGGTGACTGAAAAGGCTGCCTAATATCATCTGCGCGGAGAAGGACGTGTGAACATGTAGACAGTTTTCGGGCACGTACACCGGTGTCTTCTACAACCGTGAAGCGGGTGGGCGCCGCTCATGCATCTGGTGAGCCAGTCAATCGGTGTAACTTCCCAAGTGGATGATGCTGGTGTTACCAGCTGTCCAGGCAACCGCAGCGTACAGCCGTAAACTATCTGTGCTGGTGTTGCCTCGAAGTCGGTCTTAACAGTGTTTCTGAGGCCAAAAAGGATGAGGGGAAGAGTTTCGCGCCAGGAAGGGTCTGCGTACGCTCAGAGTGCTGTCTTGAAATTGCTCTAACATGCCGCTAGCGGCCGGATTATAAGACGTCGTCTGGACGCGGCGACAGCCCTAAATTCCTGAGCAGCGTGGTAAAATGGGACGAAAAATGTGACTCTCGATCGGTGATCTCAATGGCGGAACAGCCGTACTGACCTACCCAGCGCTCTAACAATACCTTTACTACTGTTTCCAAAGAGAAATTCGGAATCTGTACAGCCTCTGGCCACCTGGTGAATCGGTCGATGCAATTTATTATATATACCGAGCCTTTCGAAGACGGCAGAGGACCTACGAGGTCGACGTGCACGTAATGAAAACGTGAGTCTGGCGTCGGAAATATACCTAATAGGCTTTTCATGTGCTTGTGCACCTTCGTGCACTGACACGACAGGCAACCATGTGCCCAAGTACCAATGTCACGATTGACATAGCGCCAGACGAATCGTGTGGTTACGAGTTTAACTGGTGCACGGACGCCTGGGTAAGACAAACCGCGCAACGTGTCGAACACGGTCAGTCGAAACTCGCGTGGGACAACTAGTCGCGACGTGTCCAGGGATATCTCGCAAAGTATGGTTCCGTCTGATGATGTCAGCCGAACGGGTTGTACGTCCAGTGAGAGGGAACTGCACCGTAGATCAAGTTCAGGATCAATGAGTTGCGCTGCGGCCATGGCTGCCAGATCGATAGCAGTGCCAGCGTCAGCGGACATCGCTTGAATGTGAGAAAGTGCTTCAGCGACGGCGTTGTACACACCCGGGACATGTCGTATATTGGTTGCAAACTAAACCATATAGTCTAGGTGGCGCGACTCCTTAAGATAATATCGATCGGTAGTCGATCTGAGCACGTAAGTCAGGGGTTTGTGGTCGGTGAAGACGGCAATGTAGCGGCCTAAAAGGATATGTCGGAAATGACGTATAGATAAGTAGATGGCTAATAGTTCTCTACCGATGGTGCTGTAACGAGATTCAACAGCTTGCAGACGTCTGGAGAAAAACGCCAGCGATTGCCAATCGCCACATACCTTTTGCTGTAAGACAGCGCCAACTGCTATCAGAAACGTCCGTACTGAGTGACAGTCGGGTCGCGATGCGCCTTAGGATCTATGTTGGCGGCAACTCCTTTTGAAGTTTGGAATGCATCACTTGTTGAAACAGGCAAATCGAATTTTTGTGTTTCCCTCGGTGAAGGTCTTTGTGGGGTTTCATCAGTGACACGCTATTAGGTATTGACCGTCGGTAGAAGTTAACAACCCCATCAAACGCCTAAGCTGCTTGAAAAAATAAGGCTCAGGGTAGTCTATGATGACTTGGATTTTATCCTGCAGTAGCACGACGCCTGCAGAGGAGCTACGATGATCAAGACAACTGAGAGAAATCGACACCAAACGAGCACTTTTGTGCGTTGATCGTTACCCCGTGTTGGGATAAACGGTCACAATGGGCTCGCGCGTGGCTCAAATGCTCCTCAATTGAGTAGCTCGCGCTTCGGATGTCGCCGAGATATGGATAGACAAAGTCGGAGTCACGAGAAACTTGATCATTGAAGCGTTGAAAACTTGGTGCGGCATTCATTAGACCGAACGGCATGCGCAGAAACTCGAACCAATCAAATGAGGTCGCGGCAGTTTTAGCGTTGTCCGCTTCGGCTTCCGGAATTTGATTGTATGCGCGTACCGTGTCGATTTTGCTACAAAGCATTTTTACTTGCCACACTAGCGGTGAGATCCACGATGTGTGGGACCGGATAGTGATCGGGCGTGGTAACCGCATTCACGGTTCGATAGTCACTTCAAGTGCGCCAGTTCCCCATGACCTTCTTTGGGAACATATAGAGAGGTGATGCCCATGGGCTGTTGGATGGTCTGATCATACCGAGCTGAAGCATGTGGTAGAATTCAGCTCGAGCTGCACGTAGTTTGTCCAGAACAAGCCTTCTTGGTCATGCGCTAGCTCGTTGACTATGTGGTGAGCGACCTCTGCCGTGACTAGTGGA